ATTTCCATCTGGGCTGAGATTAAGCATGGAAACACCAACACACAAGGAGAAGGGGCTTTCTTAAACTGAGAGACCGCGGGCTAAAAGAATCCTTAAATTGGCACACACCAAAAAAGAGAGATTTTCTCTAAGAATCACAAGAAAGGCAGGAAAATCCCGAGCTGGTATCAGAAGGTCATCGGAAGGCCTGCTTTGTTTCAGTCTTCCCACAAAAATTAACATGTGAGCGGGTGACCACTGAAGTTACCACAGACAACAAAGGGGAAGGGCTGCAGATCGGGATAAGTAAATAACACGTCAGAGATGTTCCGACCAATTTAAATGAATTCAAATCAGTGGGACATGACACTGTTCAAGAAATCTTGGAGCCACTGGCAATAATATTTGCAAACTGATGGCTGCCAGGAGAGGTCCCAGAAGACGGGAGAAGGGCTAACAGAGTGGCCATCTTTAAAAGGGGAAAAAGGAGGAGCCCTGGAACTATAGAACAGTCAGCCTGACCTTGACAAATGGAAAGCTACTAGAGCAATATATAAAACCTTCAATTTGTGAGGACGAAAGGGTGATCACCAGCATGGATTCACCAAGAACAAATCTTTCCAAACCAGCTTGATTTCCTTCTTTGACGAGGTAACTTGTTGCTGGCAGGGGGAAAGAAGTGGAAATAATAAAACTGGACTTCAGCAAGGCTTTTGACAGAGTCCAACATGACTTTCTCCTACATAAGCTGGATAAGACATCTGAAGGAACTCAAATGTAAGATTGCAGAACTACTTACTGTCGTATGTAACCTATCATTTAAATCAGCTTCTGTGCGAGAGGACTGGAGGATAGCTAATGTGACACCAATTTTTAAAGAAGGCTCTGGAGGTGATTCCAGCAATTAGAGGCCACTAAGCCTAACTTCAGAGCTGGGAAAACTGTTTGAAACTACATTAAAGAACAGAATTATCAGATGCATAATGAATACAATTTGTTGGAGAAGAGTCAACATGGTTTCTGTAAAGGGAAATCATGCCTCACCAATCTATTAGACTGGGTCACCCTTGCCCACATGCTGTTGACTCCCTCAAAAAATTCTATGTACTTAAATTTTCAGAAAGCCTTTGCAAACATCCCTCCCGAAAGGCTCTTAAGCAAAGTAAGCTTTCATGGGATAAGTGGGAAGGTCCTTTCCTGGATCAGTAACTGGTTAAAGATAGCTAAAGGATAGGAATAAAT